AAGGGGGGAGTAGTACTGGTCGGAAGTACTGGTCGCATGGGTTTTTTGGTAAATATGCAAGTTGTATTAAGTATATGAGCAGTAGTAATAATGTGTTATAGGTTAAACAAGCTGCAAGAAGGTGTGCTTCCTAATCTCAAGGCTTCTCCTGACTGATGAGAAGACATGGTACAGTAGCATAAGTAGCATACTGTGTCTCACCTAACCTAACAATGTTCTTAAGACTTTCTTCCCATGGGTGAAGGTAACTCTGCCCAATTGAGCAGGAGAATTTGAGAATTTTCTGCACCCTGGAGACTATGTGGCGGTAAAAGACTACAGAAGAAAGAGCTGGAAAGACCCTAGGTGGGGGGCCTGTACCAGGTGTTGTTGGCTACCTCAATGACGGTGAACATGGCAGAGACAAATATTTAGATCCATGTTTCCCACCGTAGGAGTGTTCCAACCCCAGGGGAAGAAGATGACCCCGTCATTGAGTAGCATTGTTTTATTTTGTGTTTGTCTGTGCTTGTGTGTCTTTGCAGCAGTAACTCCGAGCTTCCCTATGGGTAGGCTGGTAGAAGGACACTCTTCGCAGACCGATGTCGATGGATTGAGAGGGATTCTGGCTGATCCGGAGACCCTAGTGACGGAAGAAGGTTAACAGCTAAAGTGACCATACATCGTCATCCAGGTTACACCAACGGCTGTACGGATAGATGAGAGTGTGACTTGGTATCATCTAAACCATTGTACCAGAGTACCACGAGGGAACCGATGACTTAGAGATGAAGGAGCTGAGGATGCTGGAGCTGGTGAGAATCAGGGGATGGGGGAGGATGGCAATTACTGATGAGCTACGTGTTCTTGCTGATTCCCTCGGCGGAGGGGCAAACCTTTGAGACCTTCGAGACCTTCTAGATCTTCAAGATATTTCAGACATCCAAGACGCACTAGATATCCCCATCATTGATTTCTCTGCCCTTGAGTAGTTCCCCTGAGAATAGGGGGAATGGCATACTTACAATAGTAAAGAGCAAAAGAACAAGACAGAGAAGAGAAGCAGACAGGATTCAAATGTATATTCCTGCACAGGCAGGAACCATAACTAAAATACAGGAAGGGATCACTATTAGAGTACGAGGGTTAAATGGTTATTGGTGTGGGAGGAACAAGCACAAGGATTATGTGGAAATCACATGGGGTAACTGTGACCTTAAGATAATAAAATAAAAAGACAGATGGATCATAGACATAAGGATAACAGCCCAAGACTTAGATAAACAATTCGATGTAGTACTTATAAGTGCTACATTTCCAGGGGGCAGGGTTGTTGAAGTAGTTTGCTAAACCCTGTACATGTTAGAGCCATACCAACTGCAGAAGAAAGGGAATGGAAGGAGTCGTTAGACAATGATTAGTATAGATGTGTACAATATATTACATTAAAATTAAATAAAGAAAATAGTCTAATATGCACCACATCTCCGTTAAAGTAATTAACAGTAGTTACAAATCCCCAAAGTTACCAGGACTGTGCTATGATTCAACCACAACTTCTGTCATCTAAGGAATTCAGAAAGACCATATCGCCCAGCAGAATGTTTGTCATATTTAGGAAATCCTAAATATAAACAATTTTATAATCAACCAGGATGGGGAGAGAAGTGTAAGCAATTATATGTTAGAATAGGAACAAGGAAATAGAATTTGGGAGAATTCAAGGGAGAATGTGAAACTATGTGGCATTTATACAGATAGCCTTTGGAATGCAGGGACCCCTCAAAGAAAAATATATCAGGCAGCAGGATCAAGTATTAGAAATTGGTATTAAGAATGATTGGTGAAACATAATAATTTGTCATATGCTTATAATGCTTATAGGGATGTTTTGGATTGGAAATGAACTCAACTAAACTGTTATGATCTGTCCTTTCTCGAGGTTACTACGGATGGTGTCGTAATGCATAGCAGAGATAATAATTTTGTGGTGTTGTGGGACAGTGAGTCCCACAATGGAGGGATATGATGGTGATTGTTTAGTGAACTATGTGCTAAACAAAGTTAAATCACGGACGTCTCTGTTGCTAGGCAAGAACTAAGAATGGTTCCTTTCACTGGGCTTGTGTATGTGTGAAATGGGGATCTGACCTATGGTCGAATTGCTCGCTCTTACCTAATCCATGGCTGTCTTACCTTATCAGAGACTGAAATCAGACTTTTGCCTAATGCATCTCTCCTCAGTGAACCTGTCATGTCCAACAATCAATCTTCAGGTCAAGCTCGGGAGAGCTGGGGTTGAACAGAGTTTATTGTATTTATATTGATTCTGAACTGAATAAAAGTTGAATTTAGCCGCCATCATAGACAAAGGAAGTGGGCGGAGCGATAGAGAGCGGGAAACTGAAGAGGGAGGGGTTTTGAGCTAGAAGGGATGAGATTGGGACTATATACAGTGGGGAGAACAAGTATTTGATACACTGCCGATTTTGCAGGTTTTCCTACTTACAAAGCATGTAGAGGTCTGTACTTTTTATCATAGGTACACTTCAACTGTGAGAGAATTTAAAACAAAAACCAGAAAATCACATTGTATGATTTTTAAGTAATTAATTTGCATTTTATTGCATGACATAAGTATTTGATACATCAGAAAAGCAGAACTTAATATTTGGTATAGAAACCTTTGTTTGCAATTACAGAGATCATACGTTTCCGGTAGGTCTTGACCAGGTTTGCACACACTGCAGCAGGGATTTTGGCCCACTCCTCCATACAGACCTTCTCCAGATCCTTCAGGTTTCGGGGCTGTCGCAGGGCCATACGGACTTTCAGCTCCCTCCAAATATTTTCTATTGGGTTCAGATCTGGAGACTGGCTAGGCCACTCCAGGACCTTGAGATGCTTCATACGGAGCCACTCCTTAGTTGCCCTGGCTGTGTGTTTCGGGTCGTTGTCATGCTGGAAGACCCAGCCACGACCCATCTTTACATTTACATTTACATTTACGTCATTTAGCAGACGCTCTTATCCAGAGCGACTTACAGTTAGTGAGTGCATACATAATTTTTTATTTTTATTTTTATTCATACTAGCCCCCCGTGGGAATCAAACCCACAACCCTGGCGTTGCAAACGCCATGCTCTACCAACTGAGCTACATCCCTGCCGGCCATTCCCTCCCCTACCCTGGACGACGCTGGGCCAATTGTGCGCCGCCCCATGGGTCTCCCGGTCGCGGCCGGCTACAACAGAATCTTCAATGCTCTTACTGAGGGAAGGAGGTTGTTGGCCAAGATCTTGCGATACATGGCCCCATCCATCTTCCCCTCAATACGGTGCAGCCGTCCTGTCCCCTTTGCAGAAAAGCATCCCCAAAGAATGATGTTTCCACCTCCATGCTTCAAGGTTGGGATGGTGTTCTTGGGGTTGTACTCATCCTTCTTCTTCCTCCAAACACGGCGAGTGGAGTTTAGACCACAAAGCTCTATTTTTGTCTCATCAGACCACATGACCTTCTCCCATTCCTCCTCTGGATCATCCAGATGGTCATTGGCAAACTTCAGACGGGCCTGGACATGCGCTGGCTTGAGCAGGGGGACCTTGCGTGCGCTGCAGGATCTTTATCCATGACGGCGTAGTGTGTTACTAATGGTTTTCTTTGAGACTGTGGTCCCAGCTCTCTTCAGGTCATTGACCAGGTCCTGCCGTGTAGTTCTGGGCTGATCCCTCACCTTCCTCATGATCATTGATGCCCCACGGGGTGAGATCTTGCATGGAGCCCCAGACCGAGGGTGATTGACCGTCATCTTGGACTTCTTCCATTTTCTAATAATTGTGCCAACAGTTGTTGCCTTCTCACCAAGCTGCTTGCCTATTGTCCTGTAGCCCATCCCAGCCTTGTGCAGGTCTACAATTTTATCCCTGATGTCCTTACACAGCTCTCTGGTCTTGGCCATTGTGGAGAGGTTGGAGTCTGTTTGATTGAGTGTGTGGACAGGTGTCTTTTATACAGGTAACGAGTTCAAACAGGTGCAGTTAATACAGTTAATGAGTGGAGAACAGGAGGGCTTCTTAAAGAAAAACTAACAGGTCTGTGAGAGCCGGAATTCTTACTGGTTGGTAGGTGATCAAATACTTATGTCATGCAATAAAATGCAAATTAATTACTTAAAAATCATACAATGTGATTTTCTGGATTTTTGTTTTAAATTCTCTCACAGTTGAAGTGTACCTATGATAAAAAGTACAGACCTCTACATGCTTTGTAAGTAGGAAAACCTGCAAAATCGGCAGTGTATCAAATACTTGTTCTCCCCACTGTAGATGGGGAGCAGAGATAGAGAAGAGGGGCTACTCTGCAGACCAGCCTGACTTTGTTGAATTGTAATAAAGTCAATCTTGATTCTACAAAAACTCTGGAAGAACTTTGATTTTTAATAAAATATCGTGATTATTTTCCACATCAATACTTTGAGCTTGTGACACGCACCTAGGCTTATCCCATAAGTGACACATCTCACTCGTATTCTCATAGAACTAGGGTTACGCAAGTAACCCAAATGTATTCTTATTCCAGTATGTCAGTGCTATGCAAATGTTGAGGGGGATCTTAAGAGCCAATTGAACTAGCCTTAGTGTTGATGCACTGATTGTAGGTACAGTATTATATTGCTTTTAACATTAATTAAAGAGGCTATACAGAACATTTGCCTCACATGTATTTCACACAGTAGCTATCACCCTGACGTTTAATGAAATAAAATCAAAACAATTCACCACCACTTGGAAATATCTAGATCAGTGTTTCTCAACTTCTGGATCGTGGGACGTTGCTGACTGGTCCCTGAGATGATTTAAAGGTTACTTGAAAGGGAACCAGTGAGGTAATTCTTGCTCTCATTTTGATGTGTGTTATCATAAACAGCTAGTTTTGAAAAAAGACTTGTCACATCTCAGCAGTTTTGAAATAAGTATTGTTTAATCACATTGGAAAGAAAATAAATGTATTGTGCAGTGTACACTAATATAACAAATATAAAGCTTCTCAAAAGATACACATTTGCTTACTGCTTTTGTTAGCTTTTATTTACATTAGTCCTCACTTTATGCAGTAGGAGTAGGCCTAGAATGTTAGTAGAGACCTATAGCGATGGACACAGGATTGAGATATCATCTGTATTGGCAGGACACCGAGGAAACATCAATAATAATGCGACAACAGAGAGCACATACAGTCACATATCCACAGAATGTATAGTGTCTTTCTTTCTCTTCCTGGGGGTGGGTCAGTAAAATGAACTCCGCTTCAATATGTACGGCCTCCGTGCTTTGGTGTTTTTCACTTGCCTCTTAAAAATATACGGTGATTTCCTTTTGAGCGGGTTGTCACTGTTTTGATCGGCGTCTAAGTACTCTTGAGAGCCGTCAAGCATCTGTAAAGAAAGACAGAATAAGCCACTCCTGAGACTCTTCCGCGGTGCATAATGCCATGAAAACAAGTTTATTCCATATACATTGAACAAAAATATAAACACAACATATAAAGTGTTGGTCCCATGTTTCATGTGCTGAAATAAAATATCCCAGAAATGTTCCTCAAATTTTGTGCACAAATTTGTTTACATCCCTGTTAGGGAGCATTTCTCCTTTGCAAAGATTATCCATCCACCTGACAAGTGTGGCATATCAAGAAGCTGATTAAACAGCATGATCATTACACAGGTGCACCTTGTGCTGGTGACAATAAAAGGCCACTCTAAAATGTGCAGTTTTGTCACACAACACAATGCCACAGATGTCTCAAGTTTTGAGGGAGAGTGTAATTGGCATGCTGACTGCAGGAATGTTCACCATGTAATGTTAATTTCTCTACCATAAGCCGCCTCCAACGTAGTTTTAGAGAATTTGGGAGTACATCCAACCGGCCTCACAACCGCTGACCATGTGTATGGCGTTGTGTGTGCGAGCGGTTTTCTGATGTCAACGCTGTGAACATAGTGCCCCATGGTGGCGGTGGGGTTATGATATGGGCAGGCATAAGCTACGGACAACAAACACAATTGCATTTTATCGATGGCAATTTGAATGCACAAAAATACTGTGACAAGATCCTGAGGTCCATTATTTTTAAGGTATCTCTGACCAACAGATGCATATCTGTATTCCCAGTCATGTGAAATCCATAGATTAGGGCCTAATGAATTTATTTCAATTGACTGATTTACTCATATGAACTGTAACTCAGTAAAATGTTTGAAATTGTTGCATGTTGCGTTTATATTTTTGTTCAGTATATATTCCATATATAGCACACTATGCAGCTGTGTGTTAGGCCTAGATCAATCAGATCAATTGTTAAGCGCTGATGTTTTGGCAGTGTCTGAGGTGTAACTGCGTTGGAGCTGTCAAATCGGTGAACAGCTGCTCTTGATCATTGTCATGAAGCCACACCTGTCCCACTCGCGTTAGAAGTTCAGAACGAGAAAGTGGCTATATAGAAATAATATCGAGGTGTAGATTACATCTCACATTCCAGTGTTCGAACTTGTAAACAAGGCTGCATTGGATTTCTCGTAATGCGACTCCGTGCATCTAATGGCAATGTATTTATATATATATAATGACAGGAGCCGCTTGTGGATTTGACAACTCTAACGCAGTTCCACTTCTGACACTGCCAAAAACAACCACTATGCCGAGGTTGGCTTAAGCAGATCTGTTTAAATAGAGCCCTTAAACAAGTGTTTAGTGTGTTCTTCCATGCATGATAAAGCAAGTACTAATCTGTATAGCCAGGCAAAAGAGTCCTCGACCATGATGAGTAGACAATGTGCACATCAACCTTACATTTTTGTAATTTAGCAGACGCTCTTATCCAGAGCGACTTACAGGAGCAATTAGGGTTAAGTGCCTTGCTCAAGGGCACATCAACAGATTTTTCACCTAGTCGGCTTGGGGATTCGAACCAGCAACCTTTTGATTACTGGCCCAATGCTCTTAACCACTAAGCTACCTACCGCCCCAACATGATGGAGAAGCTTGAGAAAAGAGACAAGGAGGAGGAGGAGAGGCATTTAATGAGGTGTGTTTACCGTTGTGAGGGGCCCGGGATGGATGCTCATCAAGGGTGAGCGTGAGTGAGTGGTATGTGTGTGGTCCTATTTTTGTGTCTTTGTGTGTGTATGAGATGCTTCTCCCTGTAGAGTAGTCGGGGGCCTGTTTGGTGTCACACTTTTGCCCCAGCTAACACACCTGACTCCAATAATCAACTGATCATGATTTTCTGTTTAGAATGCAATTAGTTTAATCAGCTGTGCTTGCTAGGGATGGGGAAAAAGTGTGACACCACTCCGCTCCCGAGGAGTTGCCCATCCCTGCTGTAGACTATGGGCTCGATTCAATCAGATCCACTTTAGCCAACATCCGCATAGTGGTTGTTTTGACGGTGTCGGAGGTGGAACTGTGTTAGAGCAGTCAAATGCACAAGTGGCTCCTGGCATTACACCTAAAACGGACATTGCCATTGGCTGCACGGAGTCACATTAACAGAAATCCCATCCAGCCTTGTTTACAAGTTTGAACACTGGAATGTGAGATGTAATCTACACCTCAATTAGGAAGATATAAATCCTCATTATTTAGTTTAATGATTTTTCGATTTGAGCGTCGTTATTTCTATATAGCCTACACGTTCTCGTTTTGAACATCTAACATGAGTGGGGTGGTTGTGGCTTCATGACAATGATAGCAAGAGCAGCTGCTCACAAATTTGACGGTGCCAACGCAGTTCCAACTCCGCCAAAACATCTGCTATGCGGGTGTCTGCTATCGCCAGTTAACGCTTGATCTGATTGAATCTAGGCCCTAGAGTGCTTATCCGTGTGCTTGTTTACTGTGTGTGTGTTTGTGTGACTCACTTGAAATGTATATGTATGCATGACAGATTTTCTACTCAAATGTTTTTGTAGCTGTCGGTGTGTGCATCCATTTCTGTGCGTCCCAGTGTTTGTATGTATGCATGCATCCAAATGTGAGTGTCCCTCACCTCTCGGGGTTGCAGCACTTTGCAGATGTGCTGCAGGTCTAGAAGCTCGTCCAGTGGCTCAGGAAGGGAGGCCAGCCTCTCCCCCATCTTCTCCTCAGTGTTATACTCCTCCTGTTCTCTCCATGACCGGCTGTTCATCAGGCTGTTCACCATCCTGCACACGTTCACCAGGGACACACGCCAGTAGGGGGCGCCCTGCTTGCTCTGTTTCATCTGGGAGGAGCAAATAAATAAATACTAGGACTAAGACATACATAAAGACATACGTGTGTGTGCATGTGTGTGTGTGTATAAGTGTGCATTGCCTTTGCACCTTTGCATTCTCTCATGGCAATAGATCAGTCAGATCTATTCTCAACTAGCTTCAAGCCTGCTGTGTCATAATCTAGTTTGAGCGTGTGGTGTTGGATGGTGTGAGGCCCCTGTCGGTGCCCGTGGGGGCCCCTGTGCGTGGGCCGACTCGTTAACACTGCACAGCCCAGACTCCCTCCCGGGTGTCACTGAGAATGATGAACAGAGTTGTAAGGAACAGAAGATTGATGCTTCTAAATCACTTTAAACCCCATCTCACCTATCAGCTTTCCTTTATGGATGGCAAGGGACAACACTTTTATTTTCTACATCTCCATTGTTGAGAGTTGTTAGATATTATATATGGATTTGGAGGCCATGGGGGAGAAATGTCACAGAGTGGATTGTATTGTACTGAGCAGACTGAGGATAACCCCCCCAGAGACAAGACAGAAAGGATGTCTTAGTCTGGCTGGATACTCCTGAGAGTTCCTTACAATATTGACATTTAGAAAACCCTACCTCCCTCAAATACAAATTAGCTCTCGTTTACTTTCAAATTAATAGTTTGTTAAGACACTGAGTGGTGAGACGAGAGGTAGGTACACTTTTAATTGTGTGAAAAGGTCATTTCACATTACATTTTGATGTAGCCCCTTCTTTCGACAGTGTGTTCTCTCTCATCGTCAGTTAATTATTGAGGGACAGAAAATAGTTTTAATGAGCAGTCCAATAATGCCAGCATCCAGAGGAGAGGGACTAACTGCCATTTCAAATGGCCCGTGTCCCCATTTCTATTGAATTGTCTGTCACTGGCAGTACTGGGTGGCGAGATTAGTCACTGGCTAGATTTCTACATCAGCCATTATTAACACAATGACTACTGGTATATCCAGAACTTGGAAAATGTAATTGATCTCACCTTACCAATTGATTTAGTCATCAGTCTATGTTCTAATTCCATTATTTTCTATTTAGAAAATCAAGTGTCGGCATATGCATGCAGCAGTTATAAATTTACCTTACAGATACTTTATGAAATAACAAAACTGTTGTTTCACAGCCTGCAAACAAGTGTCATTGAAACAACAGTCAACCTATTCCAACATTAGCAAACCTAACCATGTATAATCTGTTTATAATCTGTGTGTAAAAGGAAAAAGGAAAAGACAAAGCCACAAGTGTCTGCTACAATACTGCCTCTCTAGTGTCTTCTAATCTACAGTCGTGGTCAAAAGTTTTGAGAATGACACAAATACTAATTTTCACAAAGTCTGCTGCCTCAGTTTTGATGATGGCAATTTGCATATACTCCAGAATGTCATGAAGAGTGATCAGATTAATTGCAATTAATTGCAAAGTCCCTCTTTGCCATGAAAATGAACTTAATCACCAAAAAACATTTCCACTGCATTTCATCCCTGCCACAAAAGGACCAGCTGACATCGTGTCAGTGATTATTTCGTTAACACAGGTGAGAGTGTTGACGAGGACAAGGCTGGAGATCACTCTGTCATGCTGATTGAGTTAGAATAACAGACTGGAAGCTTTAAAAGGAGGGTGGTGCTTGAAATCATTGCTCTTCCTCTGTTAATCATGGTTACCTGCAAGGAAACACGTGCCGTCATCATTGCTTTGCACAAAAAGGGCTTCACAGGCAAGGATATTGCTGCTAGTAAGATTGCACCTAAATCAACCATTTATCGGATCATCAAGAACTTCAAGGAGAGAGGTTAAATTGTTGTGAAGAAGGCATCAGGGTGCCCAAAAAAGTACAGCAAGCACCAGGACCGTCTCCTAAAGTTGATTCAGCTGCGGGATCGGTGCACCACCAGTGCAGAGCTTTCTCAGGAATGGCAGCAGGCAGGTGTGAGTGCATCTGCACGCACAGTGAGGCAAAGACTTTTGGAGGATGGCCTGGTGTCAAGAAGGGCAGCAAAGAAGCCACTTCTCTCCAGGTAAAACATCAGGGAGAGACTGATATCCTGCAAAAGGTACAGGGATTGGACTGCTGAGGATGAATCCCCTTTCCGATTGTTTTGGGGCATCCGGAAAACACCTTGTCCGGAGAAGACAAGGTGAGCGCTACCATCAGTCCTGTGTCATGCCAACAGTAAAGCATCCTGAGACCATTCATGTGTGGGGTTGCTTCTCAGCCAAGGGAGTGGGCTCACTCACAATTTTGCCTAAGAACACAGCCATGAATAAAGAATGGTACCAACACAACCTCCGAGAGCAACTTCTCCCAACCATGCAAAAACAGTTTGGTGACGAACAATGCCTTTTCCAGCATGATGGAGCACATTGCCATAAGGCAAAAGTGATAACTAAGTGGCTCGGGAACAAAACATCGACATTTTGGGTCCATGGCCAGGAAACTCCCCAGACCTTAATCCCATTGAGAACTTGTGGTCGATCCTCAAGAGGCGGGTGGACAAACAAAAACCCACAAATTCGGACAAACTCCAAGCATTGATTATGCAAGAATGGGCTGCCATCAGTCAGGATGTGGCCCAGAAGTTAATTGACAGCATGCCAGGGCGGATTGCAGAGGTCTTGAAAAAGAAGAGTCAACACTGCAAATATTGACTCTTTGCATAAACTTAATGTAATTGTCAACAAAAGCCTTTGACACTTATGGAATACTTGTAAACATACTTCAGTATACTATAGTAACATCTGACAAAAATATATCATAACACTGAAGCAGCAAACTTTGTGAAGACCAATACTTGTGTCATTCTCAAAACTTTTGAACACGACTGTAGAGCACTCTATCAATCTTCTGGCGACTTATTTTTACAATCAGCCCCCCAAGAAACCATTGAAACATCATAAGCGATAAATCACATAGGTTATTTGTCATAATTGTGTCTCAGTGTGTCCCTCTCATCTCCATTCATTTATCAGACAGAGTGGGGAGGAGAGAGTGTGTGTGCATGTGCATTTCACGCATGTGTGTATGTTGTGTGCTCATGTGCAAGTGTATGTGAGTGTGTGTTTGTGCACGCGTATGTGCGTGTGTGTGAATGTGTGTTGCTATGTTGCTGTTAGGACCATCTGAACGGTATTAGCTCAGGTAATCAGTCTCCAGGCTTCACTAGTTACAGTTCTATCTCCTTAATTTCCTCTTGCCTGTCTACGGAGTATCTCGCATGATAAATGGTAATATAAAAAAAGCAATTATGTTATTCCTGAATGATTTCCTTTTCAACCCTTTATAATTCATGTGCGTGAGTGTGTATGCATTTGTGAGTTGAAAAGTGATGAAGTGACTAGAAAAAGTGATTTTGAAAGCTTTATTCATGCACTAGAATATTATTGATTGCTCTAGATGGAACATTATGTTAATCTCAAAGACCATATATCTTAACACTAACACAGAAACCTGTGAAACTATGAACAAATAGAATCCACAATGCGCCAATTCAAGTTTAAACAAAAACAGAGAGAGAATGATTACATATCCAGCCTCCATGAAAGAGCACCTGCACTACGGGGGCACTAACTGTGCGCGTGCGCGCACACACACACACACACACACCTCAGATCTGACAGGTGCATAGAGGAAGCAGCACAGTACCTTTGAAGTGAAGAGACTGCTCAACAGCTCCTCCTCTATCGCCCGCTGTTCCTGGTCAACATCTATCAGATAGACACAAAACAAGCGTTAGAATACAGGTTTATCGTAGTACAGGTATAAAGGTATTATACAGGTAGGTATATAATAACAAAAAATACAGCTCCAATTCTGAAGTAACCATTTCAGTAAAAACGTGGATTCTATCACCTGGGTTTTTCTAGCATAGTCTACAACAGCTTTATCCAAATGTATTTATCTGTTTGGTGCCAATTTAGCCCTCATAGCCTATTTCTAACGAGCTGTTTTAAAGACTATTAACGTTCTGTTAGAGCCTGATCCATTGTGACCCATCAAACGGGACAGTAAAGCTCAAGCAAAAACAACTCAAAGCTTTTCTTGCTAAGACGTAATACATTTTGTACATCCATTTTGGAGCGTGTCACAGAGTTCAGATAACCAAATCTTGCTTAGATGTTTAACTTAATGTTGATTAGATGTTGAACTTGATGTTGAAGTTGACTACATTTGATGTTGAATCAAATCACTTTTGCTCCTTAAGCCAGGAAGTCAATGCTTTTTTGGGCGCGGCTAGATCGATTCCTCCCTTTCCATCAACCACATCCCACAGCAACATCTATATAACAGTTTGTTTCTATGACAGAGCTATGTGCTTAATAAGCTCAACCGAACAATGTGTTGTCCTGGAGAGCTTCAATTGGCTGCCCCAGCACTAAAACACCTGAGTCACCTAGGCTAGGGCATTGATTAAACAATTAGATGGATACATTAGCTCTGTGCTGAGCTAGAACAAAAGCATGCACAGAGCACTGAAGCAGATACTTGGTGCAAATGTGTTGTATTACATTGCAACAAAATAATAATACAATAAATGCATTTTCAACACAGCTCTGCAGGTCTACCCTACCAGAACTTTGCACACGAAAAATTTGTTGAAAATGCATTTATTGTATTATTACATTTATGGAGTATATATTTCAATATATATACAGTACCAGTCAAAAGTTTGGACAAACCTACTCATTCAAGGGTTTTTCTTAATTTTTTACTATTTTCTACATTGTAGAATAATAGTGAAGACATCAAAACTATGAAATTACACATATGGAATCATGTAGTAACCAAAAAAGTGTTAAACAAATCAAACTATATTTTATATTTGAGATTCTTCAAATAGACACCCTTTGCCTTGATGACAGCTTTGCACACTCTTCGCATTCTCTCAACCAGCTTCACCTGGAATGCTTTTCCAGCAGTCTTGAAGGAGTTTCCACATATGCTGAGCACTTGTTGGCTGCTTTTCCTTCACTCTGCCGTCCGACTCGTCCCAAACCATCTCAATTGGGTTGAGGTCGGAGGATTATGGAGGCCAGGTCATCTGATGCAGCACTACATCACTCTCCTTCTTGGTAAACTAGCCCTTACACAGCCTGGAGGTGTTTTGGTTCATTGTCCTGTTGAAAAACAAATGCTTTGCTTTGTCTTGGCCAGGTCGCAGTTGTAAATGAGAACTTGTTCTCAACTGGCTTACCTGGTTAAACAAAGGTGAAGAAAAAAATAAATAAAAATGATAGTCTCAGTAAGCCAGATGGGATGGCGTATCGCTGCAGAATGCTGTGGTAACCATGCTGGTTAAGTGTGCCTTGAATTCTAAATAAATCACAGACAGTGTCACCAGCAAAGCACCCCCACACAATAACACCTCCTCCTCCATGCTTCACGGTGGGAACCACACATGCGGAGATCATCCCTTCACCCACACCGCGTCTCACAAAGACACATCGGTTGGAACCCTAAATCTCAAATTTGGACTCCAGAACAAAGAACACATTTCCACCGGTCTAATGTCCATTGCTCATGTTTCTTGGCCCAAGCAGGTCTCTTCTTCTTATAGGTGTCCTTTAGTAGTGGTTTCTTTGCAGCAATTTGACCATGAAGGCCTGATTCACACAGTCCCATCTGAACAGTTGATGTTGAGATATGTCTGTGACTTGAACTCTGTGATGCATTTATCTGGGCTGCAATTTCTGAGGCTGGTCACTCTAATTACCGTATCCTCTGCAGCAGAGGCAACTCTGGGTCTTCCACTCTTGTGGTGGTCCTCATGAGAGCCAGTTTCATCATAGCGCTTGATGGTTTTTGCGACTGCACTTGAAGAAACGTTCAAAGTTCTTGAAAGTTTCCATATTGACTGACCTTCATGTCTTAAAGTAATGATGGACTGTCGTTTCTCTTTGCTTATTTGAGCTGTTCTTGCCATAATATGGACTTGGTCTTTTACCAAATAGGGCTTTCTTCTGTATACCCCCCCCCCCCCCCCCTACCTTGTCACAACAAAACTGATTGGCTCAAACACATTAAGAAGGAAAGAAATTCCACAAATTAACTTCTAAGAAGGCTCACCTGTTAATTGAAATGCATTCCAGGTGACTACCTAATGAAGCTGGTTGAGAGAATTCCAAGAGTGTGCAAAGCTGTCATCAAGGCAATGGGTGGCTATTTGAAGAATCTCAAATATAAAATATATTTCGATTTGTTTAACGCTTTTTTGGTTACTACATGATTCGATATGTGTTTTTTCATAGTTTTGATGTCTTCACTATTATTCTACAATGTAGAAATACTAAAAATAAAGAAAAACCCTTGAATGAGTAGGTGTGTCCAAACTTTTGACTGGTAGTGTGTGTATATATATAAAATCGAAACATAGCTTTACATATCAAGTACAGTAGGTTGAAGAAAATGATTTTCAACTTACTAAACTTATGTTGTACATTTTGGATAATTTAATTTTGTATAATTTCTGAGAAACATGATTTAATAAAATAATGTAATTTATGAGCTCTAAATACATACAAAACATATAAATACAAATCATCTGACAACATTGAGTCAATTTACATGACACCCGCTTTATGCAAGAGCATATCTCATTGCAGTTATGCCTTCTTGATAGGAATGTCTGGCTAATCAATGGATGTGAATGGATAAGTTAACTAAAGTGTGCATGATGAAATCCACCTGATGCAAAAGTATGTTTCAGATTAGAGGAATTCCGTTAGTCCCTGGTCTCTGAGACTATTTCCTGTTCTATCAAGTTAAAATCCAACCTAATCATTTGATAATGCAACCAATATAATACCCAGTAAGGTAGCAAATTAATTAACATCAAAAGGAAAGTATGTCAAAGGATGCCCGTGCTTACCTGAACATAATATGCCACACGTCAAACAGAGGAGAAGCACACACGCCAACTGTGCCTGCATCTTCGTACAAATCCCACACTCTGAATACACCTAGCTAAGCAGGACCCAAGTCCATAGGGTTAGGGGTCAAATGCAGAAAGAGAGAGAGACAGAGAAGTCAGAGGTGGAGAAGGAGTGTACTCAGTCTGTTTGTCCTTGTCTTCTCTTCTTCCTGTCAGTGACAGTGTCTGCCTGTGTCCTCTTGGTTTTAGATAGAGTGAATGAAGTGAAGAGCAGTGGGCTTCATTCCCTTAGCATATAAGAGGTAGAATGATGTCAGAGGACCACTCTCTCACCCACCCCCCCTCTCATCCACTCTCCCCCTCACCCTCTACCCACGAGCCCCGGTGCTGTGTCAACGTGACATCAGACATCATCCCCGCATCACACATCAAGGTTTTGCATCATACAACTTTTAGATGTGGTTATTTGCATGTGTATATATTGATTACTTTAGAGTGGGTAGATTGACTGTTTTGCTGATTTGTTTGTGGAGGCGAGTTGTGTGTATGAAGCTGAAGACCCCCTGTCTCACTTGGATTCAGGCAACACACTCTACAAATACTCTATGAACAAATCTTTTTTTTTCATTTATTTCTGGGTGTTTTAAGTGTAAGTGGTATCTCATCAAGCCTATAGATCAATGTGGTCAAATGAAAGTTGCATCACTCTTCTTACCTTGAGACAAAATGCTTTGAAGTAAGTATGGTTAGGGATAAGAAGAGGTTTGATTTGTCAACCTCAACTCATTAAGAAGCACATACATTAATAAATATATATGTTTTTTTTTAAATTATTTGGTTGATTATTTTAATTATATTCAACTTTCAAGCAAAATGTATGTGATTATAGCATTATATTGTCTTTTTTGTTGTTGTTGTTGATTCAATTGACATTTATTTATTTGGTAATAACTATTTTGTGTAGGCTAACAACTGCTGTCGAAACCCATAGGCTACTGGTAATCCCAAACACTGTGTCACGATCGTTGTAAGAGGCAGACCAAGGCGCAGCGTGATAGGCGTACATCTTTTAATGAGTACTTTACACCAACAACAAAACAACAAAACGATACGTGAAGTCTAAAGGTTCACCAACACAAACCTATACAGAACAAGATCCCACCCAAATAGGACCAAGCAGTGTGTGCAGGAGCAAACGCCGGGTATGGAACAGGAGGTTACTCTGGTAGATGTCCTCCTCGGTTGGGGGAGAATCATGGAGGAGGAGGCCGTCCGCTACCGGAGGGCGATGAGGGAGGATGCCCAGGCAGGAGAGGAGAAGCGGCGCCAACCGGGCCGTCGTCAGACAGGCGAGAGGCAACCTCAAGTAATTTTTTTGGGGGGGGCACACGGCATGGACGACGGGGCTGCTGGAGGCAGCTACAGGGCGAGTTTGCGGACTAGGAGAGGAGGCCACCAGGTTACGGGGGGCATTGGTCATGAGGGGGAAGGAGAGTGTAGAGGCACGGCGAGAGGTACTGGGGTGTGTTACCAGTCCGGTCCGGCCCGTTCCTGATCCCCGCACAAGGCCAGTGGTGTGTGTTCCCAGTACGGTCCGGCCTGTTCCTGCTCCCCGCACAAGGCCAGTGGTGTGTGTTCCCAGTACGGTCCGGCCTGTTCCTGCTCCCCCGCACCAAGCCAGTGGTGCGCGTCGCCAGCCCGGTCCGGCCTGTTCCTGCTCCCCGCACCAAGCCTGTGGTGCGCGTCGCCAGCCTGGTCCGGCCTGTTCCTGCTCCCCGCACCAGGACAGGGGTGCGCGTCGTCAGCCCGGTCCGGCCCGTTCCTGCTCCCCGCACCAAGCCAGTGGTGCGCGTCGTCAGCCCGGTCCGGCCCGTTCCTGCTCCCCGCACCAAGCCTGTGGTGCACGTCGTCAGCCCGGTCCGGCCCGTTCCTGCTCCCCGCACCAAGCCAGTGGTGCGCGTCGCCAGCCCGGTCCGGCCCGTTCCTGCTCCCCGCACCAAGCCAGTGGTGCGCGTCGTCAGTCCGGCACAGCCCGTGCCTGTTCAGCTGCTCCACGCCGGAGCCAGAGCAATCCGCTCCACCGGTGTTCAGTCCAGCTCCGGCCAGCAGGGCCAGACCACGAGGGCGAGAGAGAGAGTGGTGGTCACGCCCGGAGCCGAATCCGCCTCCGAGGCGGAATGCCCACCCGGCCCCTCCCCTGTGGTGTTTGGTTGGCGCGGTCGCAGTCCACGCCTTTGGGGGGGGGGGGGGGGGGGGGGGGGTCGTCCCCTTTGGGGACTCTAGTTGACCAGGATGTTAGTTCTATGTTGTTTCCTTGTTTTCTGTCTAGATCGTTTAGATCTATGTTGGCCAGGGTGGTTCCCGATCAGAGGCAGCTGTTGCTCGTTGTCTCTGATTGGGTACCATACTTAGGCAGCCTGTTTTGCACAGTTGTATTGTGGGATCTTGTTCTGTATAGGTTTGTGTTGGTGAACCTTTAGACTTCACGTATCGTTTTGTTGTTTTGTTGTTGGTGTAAAGTACTCATTAAAAGATGTACGCCTATCACGCTGCGCCTTGGTCTGCCTCTTACAACGATCGTGACACAATGATTTATAGTCTAATTGTGCCATAGGCCATACCATCGTGCTGAAAGTGCACTCCAGCTAGACGACACTCTCAAGCAAATGATGGCCACTTGCGCTACCATTGCGCTTTCATATGCTGCCTACCCAAGCAGGAAAAAAACATATTTAGACATGCTTAAGTCATACTTCATGAATATATTTTAATATATTTAAGTATGTCTGTGATAAATATACTGAAGTATATTTACAATGATCTAGATTGGAGCAGTTTTAAATACATTTAATGCAATTAGCATTTAAGTATATTAAATACATTTAAAATGATCTAAATTGGGAGACTTTTTAGTACTTAAGTATATTCTTAGTATACTAAATAAATAGCAAAACAAATATACAGTGCATTTGGAAAGTATTCAGACCCCTTGACTTTTTCCCACATTTTGATACGTTACAGCCTTATTCTCAAATGGATGAAATTGTTTTTTCCCCCTCATCAATCTACACACAATACCCCATAATGACAAAGCAAAAATAGCTACAGTGTTGTTAAGAAGGCAGAGTAGCGCTTTATTATGGACAGACTCCCCATCTTAGCTGCTGTTGTATCAATGTTTTGACCATGACAGTTTACAATCCAGGGTTACTGCAAGCAGTTTAGTCACCTCAACCTGCTCAATTTCCACGTTATTTGTTACTAGATGTAGTTGAGGTTTAGGGTTTAGTGAATGATTTGTCCCAAATACAATGCTTTTAGTTTTGGAAATATTTAGGACTAACTTATTCCTTGATACCCATTCTGAAACTAACTGCAGCTCTTTGTTAAGTGTTGCAGTTATTACAGTTGCTGTAGTGGCTGACGTGTATAGTGTTGAGTCATCCGCATACATAGATACACAGGCTTTACTCAAAGCCAGTGGCATGTCGTTAGTAAAGATGGAAAAAAGTAAGGGGCCTAAACAGCTACCCTGGGGAATTCCTGATTCTACCTGGATTATGTTGGAGAGGCTTCCATTACAGAACACACTCTGTGTTCTGTTAGACAAGTAACTCTTTATCCATATTATAGTAGAGGGTGTAAAGCCATAACACATAAGATTTGTGTGTGGTTCTGCAACAAAGGAGAGACATTATAAGCAGCATAAAATAAAAGTAAGGATGAATCTATTAAACCAACATATCTCAAATAAGGAAAATAAGAAACTGCATGACATCTTAATGTTATGACAATTAAAATATACATTGAAAATAGGAAACAAAAGTACTCTTAACTTAACTGCTGGAAAGAAACGGAGGAATGGCTTAACATGATTTAAATACAAAACCAAAGTGTGTGGCATTGAGAGAGAGTCAACAAGTTATTATGCTCCACTCTGAGAGCTTTTATACAGCTGCCAACCAGCTGCATGGGGCCATATTGGACACGATTCACATTGTCATATCTTCATAAATAATGGGAACATACAGCCCAATGGTGCGTATCTGGTGTAACCACCTCTCCCTCAACGTGAGCAAGACAAAGGAGATGATCGTGGATGCATTCACGATCATCTCCTTTGTGCATTCAAATTGCCATCAATAAAATACAATTGTGTTCATTGTCCGTGGCTTATGCCTGCCCATACCATAACCCCACTGCCACCATGGGGCACTAATGTTCACAATGTTGACATCAGCAAACCGCTCGCCCACACAACGCCATACATGCTGTCTACCATTTGCCAGGTACAGTTGAAACCAGGATTCATCCGTGAAGAGCACACTTCTCCAGCGTGCCAGTGGCCATCAAAGGTGAGCATTTTCCCACTGAAGTCGGTTACGACTCCGATCTGCAGTCAGGTGTCAAGACCCTGGTGAGGACGATGAGCACGCAGATGAGCTTCCTTGAGACGGTTTCTGATAGTTTGTGCAGAAATTCTTTGGTTGTGCAAACCCACAGTTTCATCAGCTGTACGGGTCGCTGGTGTAACTGTGTAATGATCATGCTGTTTAATCAGCTTCTTGATATACCACACCTGTCAGGTGGATGGATTATCTTGGCAAAGGAGAAATGCTCACTAACAGGGATTTAAACAAATTTGTGCACAACATATGAGAGAAATAAGCTTCTTCTGCATATGGACAATTTCTGGGATCTTTTATTTCAGCTCATGAAACATGGGACCAACACTTTACATGTTGCATTTATATTTTTGTTCAGTGTATATACGTTCACGCTTACCATAACAAGATCACCTGGAGGAAGTTCTGTGTTTCTCCAGTAGATTACACTGTCACAGAAAAACTCAGAATAGAAAATGTGTTTTACAGGCAAAAATCTCTCAGACAAGGTTGTGGTACTGTTCTTAAAATTCTACTAACAGAAACACAGAACAGACAAGAGGAAAGTACAAGACAATAGAACTATGAATAACATTTGCAACATTTGGGCTGTGGACAACACTAAAAGCAAAAGTATTTTCTAACACTCCCTCTTTGTGATTTCCTCCCACACGTGTAACTTTAGCATTACGCGGTTACAGGTTGGTGTTAAAGTTACTGCAACACCGTCAGACACAATGTCAGTGCAACAGGAAACAAAGGATTTAGCCTATCCTAAACATTGGACCAAATCAGCTGTCATTTCAACCACATATATTTTGACACATTTTCAGGGAGACTTATGTTCCTCTGTATTATGTTGAGTATTC